CGTTTTTCCTTAGTAACTGTAACTGTAACTGATTACAGTTACATTTATTTAATTTAATTACACATTTTTTTCTTAGTAACTGTAACTGATTAGTTACATTTATTACGTAACGCCGTTACATGTAACTAGTTACTCCCCAACACTGTTAGTAACGTTCACACTTCACAACATGTGAACAGTTTGTTCACAATATTTCAAAAACACAGTGAGAATTAACTTAAGTGCAATGTTAATTACGATGCCAGCAACACGCCATTTTGAACAACAATGAAACGTAAAAAAAAAAAAAATCGAATCGCTGTTCGGAACGAGCCGATTCGCTAAGGATCATTGACTCGTGCTGTTTGATTATATTTTTCAAAGTAAAAGCCTCACGCATTCTTTTACACGGAAACAGGAGAGGCGTTTAGGCTGTTGGTAGGATACTTTTCACTTGTTGTTAAACCAAAGCAAATGTAAATATGTTAGATCATAACTTTTTAAGGGAAGTAGACAGTTTTTGACTTACTTTGTTTCCACATATTTGAAAAAACAAAGCTCTTCTAATTACTGAATCAGGATTTTTGAGCATAAATCAAAGATTGAATAAAAAAAAAAAAAAAGAGCGACTTTTTGTGCATAACCAGAAAAGTGTGTATTAAGTATAGAAATCTTAATATTAAAATTCCCTTGTCTTTCCAGGGTTCCCATGAACAGCAAACTTCAGATATATGAGATGAAGGGAGAGGTTTTCAGTAGCAACTGCAGTAAACACAATGAATTAACTGAACAGAAAAACAAACTCTATTGTGGTCTAAATTCACTTAAATAAATAATAATATTATTTGACTTCAACTGGCTATTATCATTTAAATAATACTGCCCTGTCTCTGTGTCTACCACAAAGGGTTTGAGAAATATTCACTATCACAGTCATACACACACACATACCTGCTGTCGTCTGTGGAAATCAGCTCATCTTTTGCTCCTCCAGGTGTGTTGATGTGCAGAACATCCCATAGATTAGCATTAAAACAGATCAGGTGTTGTGATGATTCTTCTTCTTCTTTGTGTGTGTGATTTAAATTTTCTTGGGTACTGGATAACACAGGGCCTGAAAAGACACACACACACAGGCACACACACACATGCACACACACAGACACACACACACACACACACACACACAGACACACACACACACACACAGACACACACACACACACACACAGACACACACACAGACACACACAGACATACATACTGTACATACATACATGCATATATATGTGTGTGACTTTTCAGGCCCTATTTTATCCAGTACCCTATTCCACACAAAACTTCATATTTTTTCACCTGCAGATATTTCCAGTAAAGAAGACCAGCAGAAAAGGGCTCTTGGACATCGGTGACGTGCATCAGCACTTACACTCAAAAAATCTTCTCTAAATGGGAACTGAACAAACCCTGTACTCGTGTCTTTTTCATAACACGTTTATGAACTGGATGAGCTGGATTCTTTCTCTCCAAACAAGACTGGCAACTTCTGCTGCCAGAAGTGAAAGCATTTTAAGAGTTTTACCGTGTGCCATTTTACACCAGGACATTATAAGATGCTTTAAATCAGAAAAAAACAAACATCAAAGTGTTAAATAGTAATTTGTAGTTGCCTCTACAGGAATTTACATGGTGGGGAAACACTTGAAGAGAAACTACGAACATGGGAACCTGTGTGATTTTGATCAAAGTGATTGAACATTAGTCAGGTGAGCTGCTTTTAAGTGACTTCCTCATTAACTAAAGTAACCATGAAAGAAGGTATTTAAAAAAGAAAAAGCATTAAGTATTTAAACATGTATTTCTCATGTCAAATGTTCTTATTGGTGGAGATGTAAGTCATATTATATTCTTGAGTATAGGTACAGAGTAGGAAACATCACTTTTAAAAAATCCAAATGTTGTAGAAGAAACAACTTTGAAAACATATGGGTGTGGATTATATTAATAGTAATGTAATATGTAGACATCTGTTTACATTTTGTATGTGCATTTATTTTGTTAATTAAATTTACTGAAATACATGATTTTATAATCCTTTATGGAAAAAAAATTCTTATCCATTTCACACTTATTTCATTTTAAGCATTTTAATTAAACATTTAAATAAAAGGTAAACAAATAGGAAACAGCAATCATGCTGGAGAAAAATATTAAAGTGTAAACTTCAAGTAAATTACAGATGATATTTAAATACATTGTCAGTGTTTCTGACTCATCAGACGTACCTGTGCGGCTGAATCAATCATGGAGGACAAAGAAACATTTGACGATGGAGATTTTTCTTCAGGATGCAGGTAATTCAGAGTCTTTACATGATTTAATGTTATAGAAAATACATTGTATGTCTTATAATAGGACAGTTGTGCCAGGGTTGAGAAGATATGGTTTTCTCATATTTCTACTTATGAGTTAGGATGCAGTGGTCTCTGTAACATTTTCCTTGTGCGGTGTCATCACTCTTCAACATTTCTAAAGTTTCTCGTGTATCGACAAAAATTCTGTTCAAAGTTTATCTACATGTAAAATCAACTATATGAATTATTGTCCTTATTCTATCATCTCTTTTCTGTTGTCTTTGTTCTATTCATTTTGGTTCCACAGGCAGAGGTCAAACTCACCGGAGCCCAGCTGTGTGTCCATGAAGAGTGACCAGTCTAATGAAAACATAGTAACATTTAAAGGAAAACGCACATCTAATCTGAGGTACAACCTTTCTGTCTAGATCGAAAGGTAGATAGATTCTCTATGCTAGGTTGATCTACATGTAAAATTAAACTAATTAATTATTTTCTCTGCTCTATATTGTTTTATCTCTTTTTTTTTATTCAACTCTGTTTCACAGACATTTATCCATGAACAGTGATCGTTCTAAAGAGAACATAATAACATTTGAAGAAAAACACACATCACCTGATCTAAGGTATAACATTTCATTCTGTCAGGTGGATTGAAGTCAAGGAAGAATAGCTGTAGGGAGTTAAAGAAGGAAATCCCCCAAGTTTTTTTTTTTTTTTTTTTTTTTAAATCTTTGTAATTCAAACCATCAAGTAAAGCCCTGCACGGGCCTCAAATCTAGGCCCTAGCCCGACCCTTATCCGACAGCTTATCAAAATTCTCAACCCGAGTGCGACTGGAGCATGTGCTGTTTCAGGATTTTAATATCAAAGTGGTTATATTTATTTTTCTTTATTAGAAAAAGTTAATTTAGAAAAATGTTTGGAGCATTTTTTGTTTGTTAAATTCCGGTTTTTGTTTTTTAAAGTGACAGCATCCGACAGTGAGTTGACCACATGTTTGATCAATTTAGCTTCTCAAATCAACATTTGATTGACTTCAGTAAAATCCATAGATATAAAACACTTAAAAACAAGCAAATCACAAAGTTAGTTCAAACATTAACCTAGATAAATGTGCACTGTTAGGTGCATATCCAAGTGTGGAAGCTAAAGCATGCATTGTTTCTTTATTAATCTCTGTTTCACAGACCTTTGTCCATGAGAAGTGACTGTTCGAAGGACAACGTAACATTTGAAGAAAAACACACACCAACTGATCTGAGGTATAACATTTCATTCTGTCAGGTGGATTAAAGTCAAGGAAGAATAGCTTTGTAGAGAGTGAAAGAATGAAATCCCTCAAGTTTTTAAAAATCTATGCAGTTCAAACCATCAACCGAACATCAATTACTAATTTAACCCTTGTATCACTTGTTTAGAAGGGCTTTTAAGCTTTCTATTAAATGCAACAATTTAGCTAGAATGGATCTTTTATATTTGCTTTGCATTGCCTCTTTGGATCTGGGTTTTCCTGATTGCATAATTCACAGAAAGGGGTTTCCCAGGTTGGTAGATCTGGATATCTTGTGAAGCCAATAACAAATGGTGCATTGGCTGATGAGCAGAAGTCAGGCAGAGTCTCATAGGTAATTGAAGTTTGCAGTGGGGCAAAGACCAGAGTCAAAACCTAAGGATTCACTGGAAAACTTAGAAATGAGACTCTCAGCGAAAAGAAGAGAAAAGAAAAGGCGAGAAAAAAGGCTAGACGAGTGTGGAGACCAGGTGGATGTTCAAATTAGTTCCTCTGACTTTAATAAAAAAAAAAAGAAGAAAGAAAATAAGACTAGACGTCGTCATGCTGCTGGACTAAACTAGTCTGATGATTTGTTTGTGTCATCTTGTTTTAAACTCTGCTGGTTGACCAACCCTCACAGGTGTTTTGATCGGTGACATTGTCTATAGTTCAGGGTGTAACCATGTTCTCCTCTCCTCACATTAATCAACATTCTGTTTTATTAGTCACATGGTTCATTCGTTTCCCACTTTTTCATATTATAATTCAGTCCTGCTTTTTATAATCAGCAGAAATGATTCATGTCAACATTTGGGAAATTACTTAGCAATCACAAATAAACCAAACAATCATAATAATTTTGATCACAATGAGTAATCACTGCCTTAATGTGCTTCTGCCAAACTGAATATTTGCTTAACTGGACACTGTTCTTGTAAAGTCAATTTCAATGGCAGAGATCAAACTCACCAGAGCACAGCTGTGAAGAGTGAAGCGTCTATGGGAGAGTCAGTAATATTTAATGGGATAAGCAAATCAAATCTGAGGTACAACATTTCTAGATTTAGCCTAGATAGAAAGATTGATTACTTTTTCAACTTGCCCCAAATGTTGAATATGTGATAACATCCATGCTTCTGCTACATACATATCAGTGTATCCACGCCAGCCAGGGGATGAATGACATCATTAGATTAGCAGGTGTTACTTTACATCACTGTCAATTTTACCTCTTTAATATATGTTGTAATCTATTTTTTTAATCTTTCAGTCATGACTCTCAACTGGTCCAAAGCACATTCAAAACAAATCTGATAGAGAAATTTCAGTGTCTGTATGAAGGAAAAGACAAAAAGGGAAACCCAACACTCCTGAATGAGATCTACACAGAGCTGTACATCACAGAGAGTGAAAGTGGAGAGATCAATAATGAGCATGAGGTGAGACAGATTGAGACACAATCCAGGAGAGCAGCAACAGAGGAAACACCAATCAAATGCAATGACATCTTTAGACCTTTACCTGGACAAGACAAAGCCAACAGAACTGTGCTGACAAAGGGAGTCGCTGGCATTGGAAAAACAGTCTCTGTGCAGAAGTTCATTGTGGACTGGGCTGAAGAGAAAGAGAATCAGGATATCCAGCTCATATTTCCACTTCCTTTCAGAGAGCAGAGAGCTCAGACGGACAAAACACTCAGACTTTCAGATCTTCTTCTTGTCTTTTTTCCTGAAACAATAGACAATAGAATATCCAGTGGTGAATATAAAGTGTTGTTCATCTTTGATGGTCTGGATGAGTGTCGTCTGTCTCTGGATTTTCAGAGCGATGTGAGGTTGTGTGATGAGAGTGAATCAGTCTCGGTGGACGTGCTGCTGACGAACCTCATTATGGGGAATCTGCTTCCCTCTGCTCTCATCTGGATCACCTCCAGACCAGCAGCAGCTGATCTCATTCCCTCTGAGTGTGTCCATCGAATGACAGAGGTACGAGGCTTCGATGATCCACAGAAGGAGGAATACTTCAGGAAGAGAATCAGTGATCAGAGTCTAGCCGATACAATCATCAGACACCTGAAGACATCAAGGAGCCTCCACATCATGTGCCACATCCCAGTGTTCTGCTGGATCTCAGCCACTGTTCTTGAGAAGATGTTGAGTGAAGCAGAGACTGGAGAGATTCCCAAGACTCTCACTCAAATGTACACACACTTCCTGATCATTCAGACCAACAT